ATTTAGTTTGCAATATTTTAAGCTGGTTATGCATGCGCCAGTGTCTTTAGGAGGAGGGGAAAATGTGTACATGTTGTGGCGGGGGTAAACTGAAATATGTCTCCCTATGCACTTGTAACACAGCATCTCCATGATCTTACCACAGAAACCTCAACTTACTACTGCAAAAGAGGATTAGAGATAGACTTTTAATATATCATTTTATTAATATTATTTTTTTCCAATCCTTATCCACATGCTGAGAGAGCGCCACAGCTGACCTGACACAGAGGGTCACAGAGAGCAAAGTCCAGCCTCTGTGGTCTGAGGATCTGCTTGTAGCACATAAACACACTGCCAGGAGCCCAAGGGAGGTATCAGTCTGGCCTTACTGTGGATACAGCACAAACTGAGTGCGTTAAACCAGTGTTTTTCAAACTGCGGCTCGCAGCATGGGGACGAGTGGGTCACGAATATGCTGCATCGATGACTACATACAGTACTGTGCAAAAGTCACAGGCACCTAAGCACATTATTTAAAACCATTTATCTTGGCAATAAGTGTGTTTTTGCCAGAAAAAACACCATTTAACATAATAAATACAATTAAAAATAAACACATCAAAGTTATAAGAATGTTTTAAATTTTGAAAAAAGCAGTTGATATCTTGTGAGGTAGATTGAAGAACAAAGTTTGGTTCCAGATTGTTCTCTCGATCACCACATTTGTTAATTCCCACCCCTAGTCAAATGCTAATTTGACTATCAGCAGCACACTTGATTTAACATAATGGAAGTACAGATTAGCAAAACCAGGTGTTGCATGATAACCACAATTAATACTGGGCTGCCAAGAAGAGAGCTTTAGAACTGGTTAAACACACACTAACATCTGTTAAATCATTATTTAATGTATTAATATTATTTGTATTTATTCTAATATCATTGTTCTTCTGAGCAATTACATATCTAAAGTGCTTTTTAGTTCTAATTTTCACAGGTCCCTAAAACATTTGCATACTTCTGTACTTCCCCCATCCACAATACAGAGAAACGCACAGTGTGTTAGATCAGTTTATACACGGTGACCCTTGCAAAACGCCCCTGCATTATTGGTGTGGACTTTGCAAGCACAGCAAGCTCAAAGAGCAGTTATCTAGTGCTGCGCAAATGACGACAATAAGTGTATACGGTAACCACGTTCAAAGCTTCAGATCTATTTTTGCGACAAGGTACATACCACATGTAACATGTACAAAATATTTAAGGAAGACATGTAACATTCAACTAAATATTAACTAATGAAATGTATCAATGTGTTTATCTTGAAGGTAAGAGCTAAATGAATTGCATCTAAATACAGTACAAGTGTTGTCATTATTTTATTTTTCTATTCCACAGTCTTACTGTGGAATATGTAGCAATGTAGGCCTACGCACTGATTACTCTATCACAGTATGTTGCTGCACTTGTCGATGGAGAGAACAGCAATATTGAGTAAAAGTAAACTGAAAATTGTTCTGATGAGTCTTACTATACTTCACAAAATATTTGGCGAGTCACGAGACAAACACCACCTGGACAAGTTTGGGAACCCCTGTCTTAAACAATGCACACCACTGCAGACACGGTATGTTACATCTTAAAGATAAGTGTTCCGCTGTGGCCTAAGCAGAATTTAAACCAGGTGTCAAAGTTAAAACAGTAATAACACGCTAATGCAACAAATGACTAATGTCACTAATGTTTAAACTGAAGCCCACCTGTGCGTGTTGCCATGACACCATGGCTGTACTGTTCCTCGTTCAAATACGGCTTTTAAATGGTGAGTTTCATTGATGACTCTTGTTAAAAGTGAAAGCAAAGTTATATTCAGCTTCAACCATGGTAAATTAGTTTATTATAGAAGTACACTGAAGTATCATTTACAACCAAAGCGCACAGGTGATGAGCGCCATATCAGTAATTCAGCAGACCCCACTGGACAATGCTTGCAGGAGACCTACGAATAAATCAACGAGCCGCAATGTAACAGAAGCAACGGCAAAGTAGAATATGCTTTTTAGAGCCCCTTGAGAGCGTCCTTTATAACAAGAGTCCTTGAGCTTTGTAAGAACTGGACCCTATCACCCTATTTTCATGTTTACACTGCAGTCAGATTCATGTGACCCTGTGTCCACTTGAGGAAAATAATGCTAGTGAATTATTGAAAGTAATAAATACATTTTAATGAAGCTTAATTTTTCCACTTGTATATTTTTACAGTCCTCTTATAAAGTTAATAATCTTACAGTTTGTTACTCAGTAACTACTATGAAAGTAATACATTAGGTATGTGAGAGTGGAGACTGCAAGTCTGGACTTGCTGACAGGTCATTAGGAAGCCAAGGGTGTCCAAGCTTATCTCTACAGGGTTGCTGTGGGTTTTCAACAAGGAGAAGCACACCAGATTAACCGTTGAAGACTAAGTGCTTAAACAAGATGATTATCAGATGTGCTCCTGCTTGTTTGGAATGAAAAACTGCAGCCACACTGGCCCTTTGTGGATATGACTGGATACTCCTTGTTATGTGCAACAACAACCAATTTATCATCAACATGTACTCTGCAAGATTAAAACATAGCTAGCTGAAAAGCAAACAATGAGACACAGTTTTGACTTTTGTTTGATGTTTTAGTAACTATTCATCACGTCAGGCCATCTGTGTCATCTGTCTGTTGATGAACTGTTTTTGCTAAATACGCTAACGCATGATAGTCATGCTGCTGTCCTAAATAAGCTCAGTTTTACACCATTTATAGGAAGCACTCTTTTTAAGATGATAAAGTGCCACTCTCAAAAATGTATTTTCTTTCCAATCACATTCCAAGGGGACATGCCCAATTTGCACAACACATAGAATATAACAAGATACTATGACACTCATGACAGCCAAATTTCTGTCAAACCATAATGTCTCACTCTCTCTACAATTCAGGCGCCACTTATCTGCTAGATGTGAATGGAGAGGAACAGGTTTCATTTCCAATTAAAATGTCTGGCAGAGACAAAAGCTTTTGTGAGCGATGACTGAGAAGCTGGCAGCACTACAAGAGACAGAGATTGGTTTAAATACATGTAATAGTTCATGAAGCAATTAAGGAGCATGTACACCCACCCACTCACCCAGCCACCCACACACACACACACACACACACACTGGTAATAAGAGCCAGACATTAGTGCACATCATTACCCATGGAGCCTTGGGTCCGAGGGGCAGAGGTGGATGATAAATATTAATAGTCTGAAAAATGTGGACGGGGAGCAGTGTGATCATGCTGCCTCTTTCTAATTGACATTTTACCTGCTGTATACCTTAACTAGGCTGTAAAACAGCAGCCAGGCCACGGCAGCCTCTGTCACTCAACACACGCTATCCTCTCACTGCTGCCTGGTTACAGATTTCTACAGGAAACTCAACAATCCCAAACCTAAGGAAACTACTGCCACTGCATTATAACAACACAGACTGCAACACTGCATTCAATCAAATAAATCTGCATTCTTAAAATCTAAATTCTTTGGAAATTGTCTATTTTTTCCGATTAAATTATTGACCATTTCTAATATGGACAACAACAAAGTAAGTAAAAAAAATTAATGTAAAAAATTTGGTGGTGTGTATCAAAACTTTAGAAAATCTGTTTCTCAAATGATATACATAAACACAATACCATCAGTCAGCACAATGCAAACATTATTTCATCAATTTTCATTCAATGTTTTACATTGTTCCACTATGTTCAGTTGAACAAGACTAGTTATGTTGTAGTGGACCCTGAGCATTATCAAGATTCAAATACATTCTGCCGACAACAAGGCAAAGTCTTAGACAGCTACACCACTCGGGTGGCTCTGTTGCGTCTCTTTTTGATTACACATGCAGTTGGACATTGTTCTTAAGCTTAAAATGGCATAACATACTGGGATAAAGCTATCATATCATCATATCACCCATCCCTAACTCTGAACAATGTATGAAGTTTTTGATACTTTCATCTTAAGTTCATTTTTGTCCTTTTTTAAAAAATCTACATTACTTTAAGATTGAAAAGAGCAAGATAGTGAGAGAACATGCTGCCCTTCCAGAAGCTCTTGCTCTCACACTATCTCCTCTCACATTATCTGGAAATTGACAGGTTGAGCAGACAACAAACAATTACCCTAGAGCAAAAAATCGAAACTGGGAAAAACAAACGTCACGTTGTCCCAGCTAAATGGCACATGCTTTGTATGACTAGACTATTAAGAGATTTATTGACTGTGTGATACACTGGAAACGTTGGTTTTTTGAACTTGATGAAGAAAACAGTCTCTGCGGTAATTGATGCAGGACAAGAACCCGGTAGGCATCAAATCAGTTTAATAGAGCTTGGTTTCAGAATATATAGCACCAAGTTAATTGAAAATGCATTTTAACAACTCACCATAAAAAAATACATGATGTTTTTTGCAGGGTTGCATTCAGAAAGGTGCTATTTGGAACCAGATTGGATTCTGCAGACTCAAATAGGGATTTATAGCAGTGCTTTTCATAACAACATTACAGCCAAGTCTTAAACCAAACCCCTCTTTAGAATACTCAGTTCACAAATGTCCAGAGAAGAAAGCATTAAATGATTAGTAGTAGTATGCTTCCACCTTGTGGACACATTGCAAAACTGCATGATTTCACTGTCAAAGGGGACCAGGACCAAGAGACTGGATCGTAGTAGTCGTAAGACATGAATCCAAAATCAACAGATTTATCTCTCTGAGCACCAGCACATCCAACTCTCTGCGACAGCCATAAAAACATACATCATTTTCAGAAAATATGAATATATCAACACAGACGAGGATAATATCTCAAATTAATGCCTGCCCTACTGAATACAACTAACATCTTGAGCAGTACAATTTCTGTGAGATTTCAATGCTTTAACCATAAATGATGTACAAGGACCACAGACGGTGGGCTGAAGCAAGCTACACTTACTGTAAAATGCTCCTGGGACTTGTAGTTCTCATCGAGGTAGACACGGGCTCTGTTGTACTCCTTCATGGCATCGCTGGATAGTAACTCTCTATCAAGAAAACAGAACATGTTTCAGTACCTTCCGTCTACAGCAAGTGTTACACTACATCCAACATAACTAACTGATAGACCTAATCTGTACATTTCCTTACTCATCTGCAGTCAAGACTACATACACTTACAAGTAATGGTACCTAAGGCTGGAGTTCAGTAGTTAAGCTCACATACATCTTCACAGCCTGTCAAAAGTTTGGTGACACTTTGCATTCTCAAGTAATGATTTTCACTGTCACTTTTCTACAATAAGTCACAAAAATACCTCAAGCTGTTAATAAAAAACAGCAACTTATTAATAAATTGGGCAGGGACTATTTTGCAAAACTTTTCTTCATGTTCATCAAAGTGTGTTCATGGGTATGTTTCACCTAATTAATGCTATGAGAGTTTTTTCCTTCCAGAGTTGCCAGTTGATTACCATGCCCCTAAGCTCAAGGGTCATTTTATCCGATATGCATACCATATACTGTATTGTGCAAAAGTAAAAACCACCCAGTTCATTTTTAAGAAAAAGGAATAAAGTAGAAAACATATATATATTTAACAGGAATTTAGACAGAAGCCTCAGCATAAATAATATCAAAGATTTCAGTATTTAGTATGCCCACTCTTTGCCATTCAAGAGACGTATTTTCAGTTTTTCAAAGAGATCAGAACTGATCTGTTTCAAAATAAAATCCAAATAATCTCACACACACGATGATGTGGAAGTCTGATCTCTGGGGTGACCAGCCCATTTAAAATTTTTCTGAACTCATTTTCCTTTCACTAAGCTGATTATCTTATATCTAATCTCCTCAGAAACATCTCCTGAAAAATGAGTAAATTGTGCTTAATGGCCATTTTGACAGGAAATGAAATATTTGAGGGGCGACCTCTGCCTTTTAAACAGTATTGTAGGTGTTCTTTGTATTTTTATAAGGTCTGACTAGGTCTGAAAAGTGAAAAAAAAAACAGCGTTAGATTCAGCACAGACTTTAACAATTTGACACAAAGATATATAGATATATAATTTTGCGGTTGCTTGAAAACGGCGATGTGCAATTTAATGTATTATGTGAGAGGTTCTTTTATTATTTTATTATTTATTATTCTTCTTCTTTATATTAATTCAATTTCACTATTTTATAAGATCACTGTTTGAACAAGGACATGTACTGTCTTTGTTTTGAAAATCATATGAAACCTAAAAATGTGTACACCCCTCAAAAACAAAAAATGTTGCTAGGATTTTTAAAGACTAATGTCGCTGCGGTCAGTGAGGGTTCTATGCTAGTTCCTTCCGCTGCTGGATAGGGTAGAGCGTGGCCGAAAAATTGTGCAGAAACAGACAGGCTACAGTCTGTAACTGCAAACCTACAAAGTGCACCTACATGGCCAGTGAACGTAGATACAAGGTAAGTGTACCTAATAACTGATAACACAATGTGTTGTTAAAAGCATGTACTGAAAACATTTTGTCACAAACATTTAATTAAACAACTGAAAGATCTGTGTACTGATGACTGCTGACATCAAAACAAAACAAAACAAAAAAAAAAAATACATGGTGTATGTAATTCCTCTTAAGATAATACTTTTGTCATTTGTTGGTTCAGTTCTGCAGTTTTTGTAAAGAATATGGCAAGATCTAAACAGCTTTCTATTTAATGTTACATCTTCATAAAAAAAAAAGATGTTTGTAAAAAATGCATTCCTTATTGAAAGTACTTAAAAAACTCCACGTCCCAAGTCTTTGGACATGCAGTGTAAGTCATAGCCAACATTATTCACTCCTCTTGCTATCTCTCTCAAGCCTTTTCCTGTCAGTTTCCACGTGACCAAGAGAGGGCTCCACCAAACTCTCTAAAACAGTGCACTCCTTAAATGGGAAATGCCTCAGAAAATACTTTATCAGAACCATGTGATGGTCCAGCATAACTATAGCATGGTGACTAGAGCTACCCCCTGATCACACAGGGTAGGGCCTCACACATTACCACATATACACTGTTTTAGACAACAGTAATCCTTTCTCCTGTATTTCTTTCTTTTGTACAGCTCAAGGAAAGTCACTATCATTTCTATGCTGGGTAAATCCACTGCGCTCCCTTCAGTGGAGAAATGATAGATCTGAGCTCCATCAGTGTTTCTAAAAAATTATGACCTGTGATATTGATATATGAGGCCAGCAGATGTCAAGTTAAGTACTTTGTGTCTTCTGTCTGTTATTTTTTTCCTTGAGTAAGTGGAAATAATTTCGAACACTAGACAAGAAGAACGCTAAAATTTATCACACATGGCTGTTTCGCGTATATTTAAGTAACAAGGCCGAGCTGTCAATCATACGGTGGATGGCCTGAATAGCAATCTTACATTAACTAGACTGATGCAGAAACAGGGAGGTTACAGAGCAACACTTACTTGACAAAGCTGTCCACGTGAGTCATTGATTCTTCGTAATTCTTTCCACCCACTTCTTGACAGTGTAACGCCACAAAGTGTGGTTTGTGTGTGTGCACTGTCTGTAAAAACAAACAAAAAAAAAACATACAAAGAGACATGTTAGGTGGAAGAAATTACATAAAACATAAAATATAATCAGCAGACTGCATGCATGGGACCAGATAGAGGCACCAATGGACTGTTTCAGGGAGACCTGTGTATTGGACAAACTTTAAAACAAATCTCAGCATCTGCTCACGTAACAGAGGAAATTAAGATCACAAATCAAAACAACTTGCAGGGGAATACTGAAACTCCACCATCAGAAATAAAAAATATTTCTGACTAGAATCAAAACTGACACTTCCTTTGCAGGACATGTCTAAGAAACCTTAGAAAGCAAGAGTGGAGTATGTGGCACGTTTATATTCTGGAAAGGAAACAATGTATTAGCTACTGCATGCAGCCATATGGAAAACATTACTTAGGCTGGCACGCATATGGTACTAAACAATTTGTGTATATGTTTACTCCTGAGGGCCTCATGCCCTTCTCTTTCACCCTGTACAATAACCATCACACTCCATCCATCACTACACACACACACACTCACATATACACACAATCACATACAGCATTATGAGTGCAAACTGTAAAAAGGTTCAGAAGAGAGGTCTCATGAGACAGCAGATACATATGAAATAGAGCTGCTGTACTTTAAAACCAGGAAAAGCCACACTCACATTGCCACATTGGGCACCTGATAGCAAACAGACATAAAATTAATCCCACAGACAGAGAGGAAAAAACGTTCAAGATAAAATTATGTAGGAGGAGAGAGAGAGAGAGAGAGAGAGAGAGAGAGAGAAAGAAAGAGCACGAGAGAGAGAGAGCGCGCAACGGAGAGTAAGAGCAAACACGCAAAACGAAGTGAGAACGAGTAAGGAACAAGGACAGAAACAGAGAGAGCAAGAGATTGAGAGGTCGTGTGCGCGTGTGTGTAAGGGACAGAGAGAGAGAGAGAGAGAGAGAGAGAGAGAGAGTGAGAGAGAAATAGAGAGAGAGAAATAGATAGCAAGTGAGAAAAACAGCAAAAAAAAAGAGACAAGGAGAACGAGTGCTATAAAAGCAAACATTTGAGTAAGTGAGGAGACCTTGAGCATGGCAAAAGGTGATCACCCTGCAGTCACATGACTGAGCTGTAAATGGTGTTTGCGTGTGCGGGGCGAGGAAGTCCCGCTGTTTCGAGGTGTGACCCGGAACGGAAAATCCATATCGCAGTGAATTACAGTACTCATAGGCACTCATGGGTCGGGGCTTTAGATGCTGGGCAGGCCATAGATCAGTCACCCGGGATTTGTGAGCCCCAGGAGGCAGTAAGGGCTGGGACAAGAGCAGGCTTTTAGGCCTCCTCCACTCACCAACCTGCATTATTCCCACTAAAAGCCAAATCAAATAAAGGTAATGTACAGCAATAACACTATGGATTTTCCATCAGCCTGCAGCGTGCCACTTAGTTGGATGACCCTTGGTAGGCCATAGAACCTAGATTTCCAAACTGCATTAGATTAGCAGACCTTTCAGTCAAGACAAGTAAGACCACCTTTCTCTAACCTTTTTTAAAGCTGTTTACCCCAGACTACTGTAGGCACATCAGTACGTGTGAAAGTGGTTCCCCAGGTGAGTGCATTAGGTGGACTGAGAAAAGAATAAGCAGTTGGAAACGGTGTTCCGGTTGAGGTAAGGCAGTTATTGCCAAGTCTTCATTGGCCTTCATCTGTGTGTGTGAGTGTGTGTGTGTGTCCAGCAGTGAGTGCCAAGGCCAATAAACAGGCTGCTCTGCCCACAGGCCCAAAGGAGCCTGAGCTTTCTTGACATTACAGAAATCTACTGCTAAGAAAAAACCTAACATTACAACAACACATAAAATTGTGTATTTCTCTACCTCCCCTGAATGATGCTCTTTTATTATAGATGCAGGAGTTTTTTGTTTATAAAGGTAAATAATCTTTATTTAAACTGAGTTCCCAAATAAAACACACTTAGTCAAATGTTACTATGCTCTACAGAAAAGACTTAAACTAGATTAAACTACATTCAAGGTCCGGATCTAAAGACTTCTGCTTTAAAGGATACTTGAAACGTTTTTCAAAGGGGGCTAGAATGGACCCTATCAAAATACCTGAGGGCTGGTCATTCTTTGCCATCAGCTGTCACTGTGAACTGCACTGTTTGTGTGTAGTCATGATTAAATATCATTCCGTAAATTAATTCGCAGGTTAACAGTAAATTAATTGTAGGTTTACAGTACTGTTGTCACCATCAAGTGGACTTTGGACACGCCTGATTTAAGCCCACCTGTGCTCCAAATAAGCATAGTCAGTGTTTCATTACATTAAAAAAAATAAGATTAATAATTGATATGCTTATAAACAACAGAAAAACTGTAGGATTACCAGAAGGTAGAAGGATTACTAACAAACATTTAAACTCTGAACCATTATTAATAAGTGTGTTCCACATTTAAGATATGGCTGTTTCCATTTAGTCAACTTGGACTTTTTATTTATATATTCTTATGTTTATTTTTACAAAGCTTTAGATATTTCTGTTAATGAAGGTCTGGACCGTAGCTAGTCAGTGTCTATAAATGAAGCACTCTATTTTACTCAGTGTGCTTTGCGTGTGCATCAAGTGCACTGCGTAACGAAGAGTGAGGCAGATACAATGAGAAAAAAAGTTGTATCTAACAAAAATGCTCTAAAAAAAAATCAGCAATTTAACTTACTCTGTTTTTTCTGATAAACATATCTTTATATTTTATGAACATTATATTTATTTGAAATTTTCCACAGTTCTGAAAAAACATTTCTTTCCAGGTTCTACAATGCAATCAAATCATCTAGTGCAAAGCCTTACATGAAGAGCAGAAGCTGTTTGTGCAGGAAAGGAGGGAACGAACACTCTATTAAAACACTTGATTTCAGAAGAAATGCTGGACCAGCAAGTGTCTACAAAGATTTTGATAAATGTGTATGTTCTTTAAATCTAACTATCTGCACATAGTTATACTCAGGGCTGTACGTACAATTTTAGAGCAGGTAGTGCTGGTGTTATGAAAGTTGTAAGCATCGTAACACAAATGAAAAAACTGTAGCACTAGAATAATAAAAATAAAAAAATAACATGTCTAAAAGCATTAATTCCAAAAATTCTAAAAAAAAAGTCATTTTAACTGTGAAAAGCAGAAGTAGCATATAAAATGTTTACATTTGCTTTTTAATGAATTTTAATATTTATTTTGTGACATGTACAGATAATTAATTTTCTCCACAATCATTCACAAATGCACTTATGTTTACTAACACTTTTCAAAACAGTATGACACATAGTGTAGTACCAAACAATAAGGCTCAATCTTACTCAATATGTGCTTTTCAGTATATTTGTTAAATTCTAAAAAACAAAAAAAAAAAAAGATATAGGCTAAAAAAAAAAGCAAAGACAAGAGACACAGCAGAGGGTAACTCAACTTCTGAATTCAGATATGTCTTTGGGCAGACTTTTTTTTTTCCACCAGGCAAACGACAAAACCCTAAATTGTTGCTTGCTTAACACATAAAAATACATCTTCAAACTAAACAACTTTTGGGCATTTTGTAAAATGCAAGGAGCTTCTGTTAACAGACATTTGAAATCGTTTTACATTGATAGAATTATGTGATGGATTACTATAAACACTAAAACGTAACCTGCGTAACAGTTCGCATGACTATGCTCAGGGAGATGGTTTGGGCAGTTGGGATTTGCTGTTCGATTTTGAATACGCACCAAGTAATGAGAATATATCACAATGACTACACTGTCCATTAGTTCTGTACACAACACACACGTAGGCGACTGTGATCGCACAGAATTATTTCATCCTAGCACGTGTGACAATAGTACAGCCCTGCTATGTATAATGGAAGACTATCATTGCACAAATACTACTGTAGAAGTCATGATCTGTGTTTGCAGATGGGAACTAGTAGTAAAAAGACTACTACTAGTGGTGATTTTCAGCACCTCATAACACAATGACACACATACAAACACACCGACACACCCTCAGGTATCCTAGATCACGGATGCAGGACAGTAGGAATATTTGCCAAAGAGGAGTGTGTTCTCTCCCTTGGTCTGTAAAATGTTTATACTCACATTCCTATCCATTGCATCTCTCATTAATCAGTGTTTACTCTGGGTACTGGGTACATCACCTGTTAGATGGGCAAACAGACGAATAAATGACAGAGAAATTCACACCGTGACTTTCACGTCATGATAGTAACTGAAGCCTGAAAAGTTCACAACTGAACTTCTCAGGAAAAACTGCCATTGGATATACTTATTGTATACATTAAAGACCACATTTCACAATATACAGTGTATTTTACTTTACTACATGGCTTGTTGGCAGGGGAAGAGATGTGTGTTTACCAGATGGTGTGCAATAGCAACAACAACAAAAAGCCCCCTCCCCAAATTTCACACAGACATGGCAAGCACTGTCCCCACCTGTCAGCTTTATGCCTTTATCCCTTTCCACTTCATCTAGCAGCTGCTGCATACTGTGTGTGCGTGCGTGCGTGCTTGCGTGTGTGTGTTGGAGCTGTCAGCTGGTCTCAGAAATTAAAATTGTTTTTCAAATATTCAAATGCATTTAAATTTAAATACATTACTTTTCAGAGGAAGAAAACAGGTAGGCCACATAACTGCGGTAAAAGGTAGATTTCTAAGTCAATGTTATGTCTCTTATATCCACAAGAGGGCACCCAGCATGAATATCTGGCAACCTCAAAAGGTCAGTGTTGTAAACCTGAGAGTGACAAGACAGCTTTTTGAAAAAGATAACAGGATTTTGGATAACATTAAGACTTTTCCATTAAATCTTCCACTCCAATGATATCCTACTGTATGATCCCACTGAAACAGGGTGATTCCGTGAGTGGAGGAATGCACACACCAAACTGAGGGGTGTGGGGTGGCACTGGTAGGTGAGTGTGCACATAAACTAGCAGCTTACTTCATTACCTTA